CTGGGGACTAGGCTGTGGACATCTTTGGGGGACATTATTCAGCCTCCTACAGAGACTAACTGAAAATGGATTGACAATGTATAGGTTATTTATTTGGTAGGGTGGGCATAACAAAGGTATTAATTATGGGGCAATAAGAGGAACTGGAGAGCGGCCCTAGGACATGAACTCGCAAGGAATGGAGGGAGAAGGCATCTTGGGAAAAATAGAGAAGAGGCAGTCTGTGTGTAGCAGGTGGCAGGGAGCAGAACGGAAAAGCCATTGGCAGTGGCCCCATCTAGCAGAGGCAGAAACCACAGGTTAGAACACATGAGGAGCTCAGCTAGGCTGGGCACCTGCATGAGGTGGGACCTGTGAGCCACTCGGAGGAGTTTAGGTTTGATCTGCAGCGACAGAGGCTGCTAAAGCTAGCGGTACCACCCAGCCTCAGGGAACATAACACTGATCGAAAATTGCTTCATACTTTATGCACAACTGGACTGTGAAGAATCACAAAGAATCGAAATCAGAGTCAGGCTTGAAAACAAATGAACCTAATGGGCAGTAGCAAAGGAACAGGTTGGGGAATCCTTGTAAGGAATACTTGAGGAACACAGTAGAAAGTTTGAGAGAATCACTGCGTGTGTTGCCTAAGAGACTGGAAATGGTTTGCTCCGGGTGGGGTGGGCTTTCCCACTGTCCCCAGGTGAAATATTCAAAGGCAAGGAATGTGGTGGAAGCCAGTCTTACCAGGGCTCAGGTAGCTCCCATACACAATACCATTTAGAAATTTCATTGTTGGTAAGAGAACCTAACTTCCCTGGACTTTGTTGTTTAAGGCACCTGGGACACAGTAAAGTCTTGAACTCATTACACTTTTATTGTGGGCTGCAGAAAACATAGGTAAAGGTTAATTAGTGCCATATCTGTCCTTATGTAGTGCTTTTACATCTCCTAAAGCTTTATCATTTATTGATACTTTTTTTTATTTTTCTTAGGCTATATGGCTTAGTTCCAAGAAAGGACAGATCCGGGGATCAGATGACAGCCAATATTTAGGCTAAATTAGAGGGGGCCAAGGCAATCCTTTTGCAATGGAAGACTTGTTTTCCTTTTAAATGCAAAATTGAGGGTATTTTGGAAATATTGGGGTTAAATCTAAAGCATATTTGCGGTTCTTTTCTTTAACCACCCCGGTAATAATAAAATGCCTTTTTTTTTTTTTTTTGAGACAGAGTCTCACTGTGTTGCCCAGGCTAGAGTGCCATGGCGTCATCCTAGCTCACAGCAACCTCAAACTCCTAGGCTCAAGCGATCCTCCTGCCTCAGCCTCCCGAGTAGCTGGGACTACAGGCATGCACCACCATACCCGGCTAGTTTTTTCTATATATTTTTAGTTGTTCAATTAATTTCTTTCTATTTTTAGTAGAGACGGGGTCTCACTCTTGCTCAGGCTGGTATTGAACTCCTGAGCTCAAACAACCCGCCCGCCTCGGCCTCCCAGAGAGCTAGGATTATAGGCGTGAGGCACCGCGCCTGGCCATAAAATGCCTTTTGAAAGTGTGATGTCTCTCAGGCTTTTTGTGGAAGGAATACAAGAAACAAAGACATTTTTGTTGATTTTTGCTGCTGAATCAGGTTGCTTATAACCCAAGAGGCAGCCAACCATCATCTTTAGAGCTTGTAGGATCTGCAAGGCAGCTGGTGTGCCAGGCTTGGACAGAAAGGCACTGTGTTCTCTGCCTCAGCCAAAGCTTCCCCTTCCTGAGTGTTTGAATTCTATCGGCTCGTGCCCGGCCGTGTTGCTCTTCGCCTGAGTGTGCATTCCCAGATGAGGCCTCCTAAGCCAGGCCTGAGAGAGCCCTTCCATTCCCTCCCTCCTTTGACAGCTTTCCTGCCAATTCTCGCTCTGCTTTTCTGCTTTCGCACTGACGTTCAGGGCATCATTTGGAGGGGAGACCTACTTCCACCTGCTTCCCAACTCTGACATTTTTTGCCTTCTCTACTGGTTCCTGTGCTAGCACGTTTCAATGAGAGGATCACCGTGGCTGTTACACCTTGGGATTTCTTTCTATGCCGTCATTCTAGGAGCAGGTCGTATTTACTACTTCTGAAAACGGCAGGGATAATGTGACCTAATACCCTGGTATAAGGCCTAAATACTACATTTCACTCTTGGTGCCTTAAACTTGTATTTTCATTACTATAATACTATGTACAAAGTTTAAAAAGTCAACAGTTCTGAAAGGCCTATAATGAAAAAGTCAGTAATCCTCAGCCCCTCTCTTCCACCCTCAACATTTCTAGCTCTTTGTCCTGGTATTTACCACCATATTTCTAAATCATATTCTTCTATTGCTCTTTCTAGACTTTTCAGAATCCCTCCCTTTGTTGGAGGAGTATTTGATGCTCTTTGCAGCCCTTGTGTCCACTGCATTTTCCTTCTCTCCCTCCCTGCCCCTTCACTTTAATTTTGGAAATATTTTCTGGTCTTGAGGTGTTTGTCAGGTTCATGCCAAGCAAGCAGTAAGGCAGCTTCCTCTTCTTAGTCGGGTAATTTTACTCTAGTCTCAAAGGTTCATACCAGAACATTTCTTGAATACCAAACTTTCCAGTAACTGAACAAACTATATTTAAAGACTCTTCCTGGGTGGTTGGATGCAGTGCAGTAAGGAAGGGTAGATTGAAGAGTCAAAGTACATTTCTTGTCTTTTTTTCTTTCTTTGAGACAGAGTCTCGCTCTGTCACCCCAGCTAGAGTGCAGTAGTGTCATTGTAGCTCACTGCAACCTCCAACTCCCGGCTCAAGCGATCCTCCTGAGTAGCTTTGACTACAGGTGCACATCACCGTTCCCGGCTAATTTTTTCTATTTTTAGTAAAGACAGGGGTCTTGCTCTTGCTCAGGCTGGTCTCGAACTCCTGATCTCAAGTGATCCTCCCACCTCAGCCTCCCAGAGTGCTAGGATTACAGGCGTGAGCCACTGCACCCAGTCCACAGTACACTTCTAACAAGAAACCCAGGGAGGTTATCGCTGTAGTCTGCCTAGATGGTTCAGGTTGTCTAAACTTGAATGGAACTTGAGGCTTTGAATATACTTAGGACTTCTTATAAATATGTGGCAGGTAGTGCAGTTTTATCTGCCCTTTCCTAGAAGATATGCGGAGAGGCCAGCTCAGCGTCATTAACTAGAAACTAATGCCCTATTTCATGTTACTCCAGTAATACTTAACTAGCCACAATTAGCCAAGTGAAAGAGATAGGGAAGAGATGCCAAGCCCAAGAGTACTTCAGAATTGATCACTCCATTCAACAAGGGAGGTAACTGACTTTTTGCTCCACCCCTTCCCTGAGGCGTCTCTTGGAGAAACCTTGGGACACCGGGTTCAGATGGCTTCGAAAGTTCTTCTGGGGCATTGATAAGATCAGACATTTTCTTGGAAAACTTTTACTTCAGGAAATTTCAGTTGTCCCAGATTCCTATATAGCACTATGTGGCAGTTAGGGTGTGGAAAAAACAACAAAAGAAAGGTTTTATGAGAGAGAAGCTTGAGCAGAATTGTAATCATTAGAACAGGTTGACTCTGGCCGGTGCGGTGGCTCACGCCTGTAATCCCAGCACTTTGGGAGGCCGAAGTGGGAGGATCGCTTGAGGCCTGAAGTTTGAGACCAGCCTGGACAATACGGCGAGACCCTGTCTCTAAAGAAAAAAAAAAGAACAGATTGACTCACCCAAGTATAGTCTGTTCTAACAACTTAAAAAAAAAAATGAAACAAACCATGAGATCAGAGCAAACAGAACTGAGAAAACAGATGAATTACGATACGAGAACAGGCTTTTGATAAAAATCACCTGTATATTAATTTCTCTGGAGTGATCAAAGATAAAGCTGTCTCAGCTCTCAGAGATGGACAGTTTTGCACACAAAGCACTCGCCAGTAGCCATTGGGAAGACCCTGGTTCTGCGGGGGCAGAGACAGAGGAACCTAACTGGGCTACGGCTCCCAGAAATACCAACTCCAGAGACGCTGAAGTTGGATAGTTGAGCAGAGATCTCAGGGTTAAGGATGGTTTCATTTAGGAAAAGAGGGCAGGGGAGTGGGAGGGGATGTTCCAGGCAGAGGGCACAGCATGGGCCAAGTCCTCATGGCGGGAGGATAGAAGATGCATTTGAGGAACTGAAAGACCCAGGGCTCAGGGTGAGAGTGAGGCTGGAGGGTTAGGTTAGGTTGGGCTGAGACCACATGGTCAAGGGTTTCAAGCAGGAGAAATGCCACACTAAGTAAGAGCTGCCGGTTGAATACGCCACTCCGCCTACAGTGTGCAGGGTGCACTGGAACTTCGGGAATGTTGGGCGGACGGTTAGTGAGCCATTGCTGTGGCCTGGGGAGGGGCTGGAGGGAAGTGGATTGGTGCAGGAAGTGTGGAGGAGGTAAATCTGGAAGGGGTAAATCAACAGGACTTGGCAGGGTGGCTGTGAGGGAGAGGGAGAGATCAGGGGTGTCCTTTAGGGTTCTGACCTACAGAATGTGCTAGGATGGATGATATTACTTTTTCTTTTTCAAAAGGAATCCTTCTAGCAGTTTTCTATAAATAGATTCTTTCGGTACACCTTTCCAGAAGGACTGACAGATTTGGTTATGGAAAATCTTTAGGGAATGCAGTGGGCAGTGGGAGGAGGGTTACCGGGGAGAGACATGGGTGCCCACGTGGGAGGCCCCAGAGGCCCAGAACGTGAAGTGTGAACATTGTCTGGAACTGACAGTATGAGTAAGGTAGCAGGAAGGTCATAAGATGCTCCTGATACATTTTTTTACGAAGATGAGAAGCAGCGACGGAGAGGAAGCCCAGCGTGAGGAGTGTATACGTTACGGCCATATTCGAACAGGTACGTCGGAAGGTCTGATCAGATGTTACAGTTTAGGGAACATGCTTACCTAGTGATCATTCCCTAAATAAAAATTGACATTTGAGAAATTACATTTTTACAAGATTTTTACCAGACTTGTTTTGTTTTCTAAGGTGATTGATATGCCTGAACACAACCCTGGCAATTTGGGAGGAACAATGAGGCTGGGAATAAGAAGAACTGTTTTCAAAACTGAGAATTCAATGTTAAGTAAGTTTCCCAGATGGTTTACTTTACCGGGTGTCGGGTGTCATTCCCGTGACTGTGCAGGGCTGCAGCCCTCTTGGTGGAGGCTCACCCGTGCCCTGTCTAGCAGCCTCTGGAGCCCTGACTCTCCCTTTGCCCCCTCTCCCCTGCCCTGGCCGACCCTCTGCTGTGGGTATTCCTTGCCCCGGAAAAGTTCTCCCACAGGCGGGCCTTGGAAGAACGCAACTGAATGCCCCTTCCCGGGTGATCTGCATGACACCCTGTTCCGCGGCCTGTTTTGAATCACCGATGCTCCTGGATAGAGCGTCCTGATTCACATGCGGTTCTTTTGAATCCATGGCTCCACTACATCAAAACTGGTCCCCGTTTCATTGTTTAATGTCTGATTGGTCTTAGCGACTCATGAATGAACTTCTGAGGAGGAGAGCAGTGTGGCACATGACCGCAGACCCAGCACAGGGTGAGGAAAGGATGGTTTGGCTTGCCTTCTGATATTTGCTGATCTTCCTTCTCCCTATAAGATTAATTCTAACTTCTGTGGAACGTTTTTCATAGCTTAGCATATTATATGAGAATAACTTAATGTATAAAAAACCTCCAAAGCCCTTAATTCAATTTAATAAATATATCTTGAGCACCCATCCTATGTACCGTGCTAGATTCTGCAGATATAGCAGTGACCAGGACAGATACCAACCCTCCCCTCCTAGGGCCTCAAAACTAGTGGGAGAAATGTGATAAAGGGGGCAGGGCAGGTGCCAAAGGGGCCCTTGCAGAGGAAGGCCCAGGGATCTTGGGTGTCCTGGTCATTCCTATGAAGTTACAATAATACCTTAGAAAAATGCCTTCTTAACTCTAGGAAGACCTGGACAAGAAATAAAAGGAGTTTCTCCTTTAAAGATGTATATAAAGCTTCTAAGGAATATAAAGTTTCCTAGCAAGAGTGAAATTTAAAAAGGAAAGATTTCAAAGTGAATACATTTCCCTCCTTTCTCTGGATAAGAAGAAGCCATTGTTCTCTAAGTGACTAACATTTTTCTGTATAAATACTTTATAAGAATTTTTTTTTCTCCTCTTCATGGATGTTAGCAATTCTTTGGCTTTTAGATGTTTTCAAATACTTTGAAACTTTGTTCAAATAATTGCCTAAGTGACAAAAAAACGGTTAGTGAAAAAAATTAATGTTCTAAAATTATATCTGCTGTAAAAGATTCAGTGATAATTGCACTAAGCTTTTTAAAAAGAGCATTGTGCTCAATATATTTAAAAACTTGATGGAAATAGGACTTATTTAAGATTTCAGTTTTTTTTTTATGGTACATAAAAATGTTGATGATTTTGATGAATCTTAAACACAGTGCCAAAGCTTGTTTTGAAAAATTTTAAAAACAGCTTTATTGAGGTATAATTCACATACCGTACAATTCATTTGTTAGCAGTGTGCAATTCACTGGTTTTATTGTATTCACAGAGCTGTGTGATCATCAGCACAATCAATTTTATTTTATTTTTAATTAAAAAAAATTCTTTTGTTTGTTTTTTAGAGATAGGGTCTCACTTTGTAACCCAGGCTGGAGTGCAGTGGCATAATCATAGCTCACTGTAACCTTGAACTCCTGGGCTCAAGGGGTCCTCCTACCTTGGCTTCCCAAAGCACTGGGATTATAGGCATGAGCTACTGTGCCCAGGCCACAGTCAATTATAGAACATTTTCATCATTTCATATGGAAACCCTATAGCTATCACCAGCCCACTCGCCAAACTTAGGCAACCACTAGCCTACTTTCTGTCTATAAATTTGCCTATTCTGGACACTTCATGTAAATGGACCCACATGGCATGTGGTCATTTGTGTTAGCATAATGTTTTCAAGATACATGAACATTGTAGCATGTATCAGAACTTCATTCCTTTTAATGGCCGAATAATATTTCATTATATGAGTAGACCCCATTTTGTTTATCCATTCATCAGCCGCTAGACATTTGGGTTGTTTCTACGCAACAATTTGTTGAATTTTGTTGCCTTAAATTTAAATTGTGCTTCACAGTTTGCAAGAAGCATGTGATTTATGAACCTGTGCCCTCCTACCTGTATGATACTGTCTTCTACAGGTTTTCCACAAAATGTTGTGCCAGAGATAAGAATATGACCACTGTGCATGGTTCTATTGAATGTCATAAAAATATAAAAACAAATAGCACCATAGTGTTTTGCAGACTTTTTTTTCCCTCGCCAATATATTTCTTTTGTAGGATTTTATTTATTCATTTATTTATTTATATAAGCTGGCGCATTTCTTTTGTAGGATTTCCTCACCACCCCCCTAAGCTGGCACATTTATTTTGTAGGCTTTTTTCCCAGTCAGCACATTTTTGCAAGAATGGTATGAACAAAGTACATTTGCTTACATTGCCTGTGAAAACAATTAGTAGTTTTGATAGAAAGCTTTAATGCTATTCATTTATATTTGATTTAAGGGTAGTGCTTACAATGCTCTGGATTAAATGAAAAACAGGAAAGTAAAGAGTTCTCTAGTAAAAGAGAATAGCTTGAAATAGGACCAAAAATCTAAAGATATTGATAGATGCAATGGCCAGATTACTAGAGTGATTCTATTAATATTTTTTCTATTCAAGAACAGTTCCTCTTTTTTTCTTAGTTACCTGTTAGTCCCTTAAGGGTTATGAAAACTATGAATTCACTTTTTCTGAAGTGGAGACTATAGGTACAAATTGATTTGGACAAAAGTACTGGTAATGATCATTTGCTCTGTTTATAAGAAATGTGTTCCCAGAGGCTTGCTCCTGTCCTGTGTTATGTATGTGTGTGTCATCTTCGTCTGCAAAGGCTTTTTCTAATTAATTGCACATCCATGATCTTTTCCTGACTTCATCATGCTTAGTTCCTCTACAGTCTTTTATTGTAGCATAACTTTTCATGTATCTGGTCTTCACGTCTATTATTTGAACATATAGTGTTTAATTGAGTTAAAGAGCCACAATCTGTTGATTCATTTCCTATTGATAAAAATTTCAGATTGTTTCTGGCATTTTATTAGAAGAACACTGATTTGGCCATCTTGACATAGTGATTTTGTTCTTTTAAATGTTTCCTTAGGATAGATTTCCAGGAGTTGGATTATTAGGCCAAAGGGTATGAATACTTTTATGACTAATAATTCTGCCAGATTGTTTGGCAGAGGGTGAGCCAGTTCATGGTGATGTTAACTGTTCCTGCTTTCCCTCATCTTTTTGCTGGTATTATTTTCCTTGTTGCTCTATTAGCAAGAACAAAAAGAGCCTGTTTTTATTGTACTTTACTTTGCATTTCTTTTCATTGCTACAAAGTGACAACTTCTCCCTGCACAAATGTTGATTTACTTATGCGAATACTGCCTGGGTCTGAAGTCTTCATTAGCACCTAAACATGGAAAGATAGAGATCTATCTGCCCAAAGTGCTGAATAGTCTAAACCATGGGTCAGTAAACTTTTTCAATAAAGGGCCAGATAGGGAATATTTCTGGCTTTGCAGCCATTGCAGCGTGAAAGCCGATATAGGCAAATATGTAAGTAAATGAGCACGGCTGTGTTCCAATAAAACCTTATTTTTGGGCGCTGAAATTTGATTTTATATCATTTTCAGGTGTCATGAAATAGTATTCTTTGTTTGAATTTTTTTCAACCATTTGAAAATTTAAAAAACGATTCTTAGTTCGAGGGCCAAACAGAAACAGTCAAGGGGATCCCATCTGGCTGTGGTCTGGGCCATGGTTTGCTGAATCCTGGTCTAAACAAGAACCACGCCTTGGATGAAGTGTGTGGCTGAGGTGGGGAGACTGTTCCCATCCTAGGGAGAGTGGAAGGACAGCGTCTCCTGACTTGTCCACTTGTCTGCAGAAATATTCTATTTTGTGACAGAGAATAAAACCAAGAGGGCTTTCAGGAGCCATTTGATCCACCCTCTTTATTTTCCAGCTGCGGAAGTGCAGTGCGGAGAGGTGAAGCGACGTACAGTCGAGAGTCAGACCAGGGCTAGGACACCGTTCCCACCTTCTTTTCTAGTCTACTGAAACACGCCACCATGACTCCACCGTCCCACTATAAGAATCAATCACTCTCCAAAATGTAACTCATAAAAACCCGCATTTTATAATTGCTAGACTCATCAAACGCTCTATCCTTCAGACTTGTATATTTTATTGCATGCAAATTATACCTCAATTTAAAAAAAACCATTTTATGTGGGACGTTAGATAGCAGGGCTTGTCTCCTTACAGTGATGCATTAGTTGATTGATTAGCTCATTAGATGACTTGAAAAACAGAGATAAGTGGCACAGAGAAGGTAGGTCTTAAATGGGGCTCTCTGAAGAGTAAGAAATCTAGAATGGGGAGTGGCTAGAGATGGCGGCATCAGGCTCGGGTGAGAGGGCACCTGGCAGAGCACCGAGGAGCTAAGTTACTAGAGGGTTTTAAGACCACAAGAAATGGGAACATAATGAAGCACAAAGAAATTCAGACATGATTCAGAGCTCATTCAGGGGCCAGCGGACAAGTTGTTTGATTATGTCTCCAAAATATTACAGACCTCAGCCTTAATTTGATTGGTTAAGTCCAGGACGTGTTGCCAAGACATGCAAGAAAGGAAGCAAGTCTTTGTCTGCGTTGAGTGGTTTTCAAACCAAATTGCCACCTGCTAGAAAGAACATGTTTTTCAGACCATTCAGTTCCCGTGTTTGAATACTATACAATCTGGTGTATGTGCATTAAGTAGGAATGCTAACATCAACCTAGTTTAAAGTCCTTGAATTTTCTATGTCTTCCACGCCAACCCCCAAACAGTTTGGGAGCCCTTACCCTTAGAGACAGGGGAACACCACGAGGTGGAAGGGTGCAGAGGAGGCATAGGAGGGAGAGACCCACCCATGAGCACGTGGTCATGGTGAGATGGAAGCCGTCTCACCTGTCCAGGTGTGCAGGCCAGTTGAGGACACAATACAA